CGGGAGAAAGATGAGGCTTTCTTCTCCCGTAAAGATTTACAGCCTCGGAAACCCTGTTCAGGTTCGCTGTGGGTTGGAACCGACTCGACAGCACTTAACAACAACAACAACAACATATTGAGGGAGCACTGGTAGTGCTGGAGGTTAGGCCTTGGGATGCAAACTGCAAGGTTGGCCGTTCTAACCCACCAGAAGCTCTATGGGAAAAAAGTGAGGCTGTCTGATTTACAGTCTCAGAAACCATTTATAGAATCACTAAGCATCAGAATCGACTCGATGAGAGTGTGTCTGATTTTTATAGATTGGAGAGAAGATCCCTGGTGATGCAGTGGTTAAGCACTCAGTAAGAGTTGCATTTCTGTGATCACGTCTATCATTGATCTCCTTCCAACATCATATTTCAGTTCATAGATGGTCAAGACAGTTCCATGCCAGATGCCTGGATTATGCTAGGATGCAAGGTAAAATCAAGGAAAGCTTATATTTAATTTCCCTAGTCAGTGTCTGGCACTCAGCTGGAGTGGAGCATTTCCCAAGACAGCAAGTGCTGTCTCTGTTCTACACCAAATAGCACTAACATAGAACTCAGTTCTCTCCATGACTTCTACAAAGCCAAATAAAACAAAGCTCTCTCATGACGTGTGTTAATGGGTAGTGCATTTTATTGTTGTTGTTGTTGTTAGGTGCTGTTGAGTTGGTACCAACTCATAGTGACCCTATGTACAGCAGAACAAAACACTGTCCGGTCCTGGACCAATCTCATAACTGTTGCCACACTTGAGCCCATTGATGCTGCAACTTGGCCAATCCATCTCGCTGGGGGTCTTCCTCTTTTTCTCTGACCCTCTACATTACCAAACATGATATCCTTCTCCAGAGACTGGTCCCGCCTGACAATATGTCTGAAGTATGAGACATGAAGTTTGGCCATCCTGGCCTCTAAGGAGCACTCTGGCTGCACTTCTTCCAACACGGATCTGTTGGTTCTTTTGGCAGCCCATGGCACTTTCAATATTCTCCTCCAGCACCATAATTCAAAATAATCAATTCTTCTACACTCTTCCTTATTCACTGTCCAGCTTTCGCATGCATACAAGGTTATTGAAAATACCATGGCTGTGTCAGGCGCACCTTAGTGCTCAAGCTGACATCTTTGTTCTTCAACACTTTAAAAAGGTCTTGTGCATAAGATTTGCCTAATGCAATACATCATTTGATTTTTTGACTGCTGCTTCCATGAGCATTGATAGTTGATCCAAGAAGAATGATGTTCTTGACATCTTCATTCTTTTCTCCATTGATAAGAATGTTGTTTATTGATCCAGTGATGAGGATTTTATTTTCTTTACATTGAGATGCAATCCATACCAAAGGTGGTAGTCTTTGATCTTCATCAGTAAATATTTTAAGTCCTCTTCATTTCAGCAAGCAATGTTGTATCATATGCATATCACAGGTTGTTAATGAGTCTTCCTCCAATTCTGATACCATGTTTTTCTTCATATAATTCAGCTTCTTGGATTATTTGCTAGCATAAGGTTGAATTAGAATGGTGAATGAATACAACCTTGTTACATACCTTTCTTAATTTTAAACCACTCAGTGTTCCCATGTTCTGTTGCAACAACTGT